AAAATAACTAATCAAGATTTCGCCAGATGCATAATTAACACATGCATGAAAACGTTAATCCATTTGGTCTAGCAAAGTCTTTTTCCGGCCTTGCCTGTGCTAATATAATTATATCTGTTTCGAGGACGCATCTACCCACATATTTTTTGAAAAATGTCAGCAAAGTTTGTACACAATTGTTGTTTCAATATGAGTAAATGCATCGTATTAAATTGTGACCACCAAGCTATAACAACTATACTCTAACCTCGACTCTAACCTCATACCAAGCCATTTTGAAGGTCTGGCAACCTTTCATCTCATGTTTATTCACATTGGAATGATTGGGTGATCTTGGCCCAGCTCGATTCCTCCGGTCATGATAAGCAATATATAATCCATTCCATTTTACTCACGTTGACATACATACATAAAATGCAAGAGACAGGTTAATGATAATAGATAATTATAAAGTGTTATATACTGAATAAATTCTGACGTATATAGTAAATGTTTCATTTAGTGATCATACCTTTAGGCACGTGGTAAAACGCCTTGACTTCTCCATAGATGTCTATACCGAGCAAAGATTTGGGACAGTGCTTCGCGAAATTATTGGTAAAGATCTTCACCCGCGCGCTCATAAACTGGCACTGGCAGCCTTCACCTCGGAATGTAAGATATTAAATCAAAAATAGTCAATATTTACCTGTTGTCCAAGCAGCTGTCAAATATACATTCTAATATAACAATTAATAGAGTTGATTTTTGCTGGCATGCCTAAATGTGTTGTGCATTTTAGATCAGCGGGCTAAAATACATTTCAGCTCGGCAAATTTATCAATATAATGTTCATTTTCTGATGAATTAATGACTTGCATGCCTTAAAAAAGCGAAGTTCTTTCAAATGCGGCACTATATATAGCGAAAAATCTGAGAGCTATAGGTCGAACTTAATGTTTGTAATTATTATCGTAAAATATTGCATTATAGGCTTACGCTGTGTTGCACTACAGTATGTCATGCAGCTTGCATGGCAGCTTGCCCTTTGGGGAGTTTGGGCTTGTGCCAGCGCTAAAAATCAACCTAATAAAACACGGAATTTCAAGACGACGTCTTTGATTATTTATGCTGAATTGTTTAATATCCACAAAGCCTAAATGGTATAATATAGATTATAATTTCTGGTTTGTTACTTGTCACACGGCTCTAATCATGTTCAACAGATGGTATATGCATGGTTTGTGTTTTGTGCATTATCAAAGTCTAGCTAGGGCTGCTGGGCTAAATTTTAGTGAGCAATATTATGATGTTCATTGTGCGTCTTCTTTGTGGTTTGATTAGTTGCATAACTCTCATACAATCTCTATCATTTGGAAAATTTGAGCCTTTCCGCGTTCCTAATCGAGGGAAATCAAATTATAACCAAACAATTAAGACGCCTGCTCAGCCTCTCAGGCGTTTGCTCCGCATGCAGCGAAATATAATGCAGTTAGGGAAAATGTTGCCTCTAAAGCAAAGTTCTCATAAGCAATTAAGCACATAGTTCTTAGTTTATCAATCGCAATCATGTGCGATGACCATTGAATAAAGAGAAAACAAATCAGGATATTTACGCTCTATTATACTAAAATGTATAATCTCCCTTTCCTTGGATCGCACTGAAAATTTCAATCACAATGTGCTGAAATGTGCATACATCAATACACATATGAAGTGAATTTTGTGCATTGAAAGTCTATAAATAAATTTGAAAAATGTATGAGTTTTATTCATGCCAGATCCAGTCTTTTTCTATAAAAAAATATATCGTTTACAAGTAAGATAATATCAGGCCTGATAATATGTAACACGCAAAATCTCTCAATTGATTTTAATATCCGATTTTGTCTGTTTTCATACATTTAGAGACTTCCGACAGTTATGCAATTTAATTAGCACCTTCCCAAGGCATATGGCTCGTAATGCTCAATATAATTATATAGCTTGCGACGTTGTTGTTGCGCGTGGTGAACTTTGGTTTTATGGAAGCTACAGAAGTATTAAAGTACAGATTGTAATGATTGCATTACCGGCTTTCGAAAAACGATAAATTTTTGAAAGAAAGCTGTTTGAGTTTTTGACGTGAAATTTGAGTTAATGAAATAATAGCATGCTTTATAGCCTTTCATGTCTGCATGACGCTCGACGAAATCATGAAGCTCACGAAATAGACGAAATAGCATTCGAACGATTCGGCTGATATTATATAACCCCATTACAAGCCTACTATTCTAGGATTATTTCTGTGTAACGCATTCTGCGCTTCTCCAAGAGCCAAAGTCCAATGCCATTGAACGAAATTCCGGCAAACGTTTCAACGAACGATGAACGATCTCGAAAATCGTTTCAACAGACCTCGGTCTTTTATGTACGTACTGTCAAGACCTCGGTCTGATATTTTTCTAGTATATATATAGTATGTATTTACACTAGTTTATAAATTATTAGTATATGCTACAAATATTTAATCTTAATCTAAGTCTAGAAAATCCTTAAGAAGTTTCTTTTTTAGATTTTTTTTAAAAGTAATAAAATTTGTACAAAGTTTCATGTCTTGGTCCAACGAATTCCACACACTAACAGCTCTGTAGTAGAATGTCTTTTGACCACCCGATGCAGTTTTGAAAAGTGGGATATCATTTATCATAGTGGGATATCAAGACTCTGTTTATTGCGTGCATGTTGAACGTCCAGATATTTGTTCTCAAGAGACCAATTGTTTAGTTAGATGTTCTGGTGCACAGCCTGTCATACATTTAAAAGCAAGTGTGGCATCTCGTATATATAATTGTTTTTCAATGGGAAGGCAGCGCAGATTCTTGAGTGTGGGCGTGATATGAACAAATTTCCTTACTCCACTGATTATTTGAACTGCAAAATTCTGCACTAGCTGCAACTTACGTACATTTCTGGCCAGAAGAACAATACAATACCTTGTCCCATCATCTCTAGGCTGATTTTCATTAGGGGCGTGTTTAAATTTAAAAAAAACAGTTAATATGACTACAAAACGGTATGGTAGAAAATGCGGGTGCGGATAGGCGGATGCGGATAGATTCTTGCGGATAATGGTAGAAAATGCGGGTAGATTCTTGCGGATAATGGTAGAAAATGCGGGTAAATTCTTGCGGATAATGGTAGAAAATGCGGGTAAATTTGTACGGATAATGGTAGAAAATGCGGGTAAATTCGTGCAGATAATGGTAGAAAATGCGGGTAAATTCGTGCGGATAATGGTAGAAAATGCGGGTAAATTATTTTAAATTAAATTATATGTGTGCTTTAGCTAGCGTTTCCAGGCCCTGTCTTTTGGATTGTCTATGGTATTACTTCACGTCCGCGTCGTAGGTTACAGCCACACGAGCCGAGCCGTACACGAGAGCTAATACTATGGTTACTAGCTGAGCTAAAGACCTCGCGTGGCTGCTAGCTTAGCAAGTTACCGGGATTGTTTTCGTGAGGAATTCGCCCCGAGAGGCAAGTTTCTCACGTGTGCGGATGGTTTTTGGGCTGAGCTGACCTCGGATAATCTGTGCCTCTGAGCTCACTGCCTCGCGATGGCGATCATAGCGTTAGCTGTGTTTAAAAACAACTATATTAAAGTGTGTATAAGTGGCGCGTTAATAATTTTGATAGTTAATAATTCGCGTATATATGATTTATTATATGCCTGTCAAGTCTTCTCGTTTTTGAGTGGATTATTGCCGTTTGTATCTGCTGGGATCTACTTTCTCCAAAATCAGCAAGCTTGCATATAATTGGCCTCTCTGAAAACACTCTCATCCTGCACTCTTCGTTTGTCATATGGCAATAGCGTTGGTTACTAACCAATACATTTTTAGCTTTCAAGTCACGATGAGCGACTCCCTTTTCGTGTAGGTATGCCAACCCTACCGAAATGTCATGGGCAATTTGCACGGGCAAATTATCTTTAAAGCACTCGAAACCGTCACTTTTGTCCATGAAGTTTAGAAATGCCGTCAGACTGGTTATCTGTTTTGACAACTCGAAAGGAGAAAAGTCAAAACACACGAACTCCATTATAATTGCCTGTGGAATGTGGCAAAATGCTTTAAATTTTACTATGTTTTCATGGTCCACGGCGTTCATCAATTTTGCCTCTTTGAGAAAACATTCTTCGTCGTCTTCGGACTCGCTACCGAGAAGTTTTTTTACAACAACAATTTCATCGCGAAATTTTGCTTTCGACACTGTCCCAAAAGCCCCATGTCCAACAACTTCTAAAGTTTCAACTTGAGCGTATTTAAACGATGGCAAATTATAGTTTTCTTGACGTGTTTTTGTCTTTAAAGTTAGAAGCTTAAAAGCCATGTCTGAAGTTTAATAAACAGAAGCCTGAAGCTGTTGGACTTTGTTACATTTCGTAAGTCCTTAGCGTTGTAACGGATATCGGATAATGGATTAACTGTAAATATAGACTAAACTAATGGAATAAGGAAAAGCAAGTTGCCGCGGATGCACCATTGTAAGTGCTTCCGAGATTAATATATAAATATAGCAGGTAATAATAGAAAATAGCGAATTCAAGGCATTTTGCCGCTTGCCTTTTAAATACCTTTCAATTTTGAAGGTCGTGGACGAAATAGGCCGTAGGATGAGCATCCAAAAGATGCAATTCCGTTGCACCCCTCGTGAAACTACATAATTTTCACATGAATCAATAGATAAAAACTTACTTTATCAGAATCCGTCGCTCCCCAAGTGAAACAGGTGCACAAATGGGAAAAAAATCCCTCCAAAGTTTGCTATATTCGCGCTTCGAAATATTCGAACCGCCATTGTTTTAGTAGCAAATACGCATGCGCTTGTCAGCCAAACTCGCACTGCGCACGCGCAGACAGGAAAAATGGATTTTCCCTGTGGGTTTCCCCCGATTTCCCGTGTAAAAATAACAAAATAAAATCACGGAATAAAGATCAAACCTTGTAATATTAACGAATAAATACACACACAATAAATATTGTTAAAACACATTGTACATTTTGCTTGCTCATATGCTAAATCACTTCAATTTATTGGCTATTGTTTCAAAATACCGTTTTAACGTATAATTCTACTTATTAACATCTTAATTCAATAAAAATTTGTGAGGTAAAAAACCCACCTGTATCAAACAGGACGGAGAATATATAAATATACATACAACTCACACAATCAAGAAACAAGTTAAATATTTCGCTTAAATATAGCCTTGGCCAAACGCATTATCCCATGCAAGAGTAGTTGGAACATCACTAACAAAGCCTGGAGGAATAGCAGAATCATTGGATATATTCATCTGTGCAAGGGCAGTTTCATGGCACAATACAAATGAGTGTGACATGCAATGTCCAAAGCCACTCAATAGAGAAATTACTGAGGCTGAACCTGTCAGTTGTCTAAGTGCCATGGCAAGTGCTATGCTCTTGGGTGTAAGATTCCTTCCCCCAGATGCTAAATTCACAAGGTCTTGTACAATTGATGTTAGTTTGGAACTGTTCTTGCCCTCAATTGGCAGTACTCACTTAAAGTTGGCTCTGAAGAGAATCCACAAGTCCAAGCCAATACATTAAAAAGTTCACATGGAACCACTTTTTGCACATTATCTATTGTCAAATCAGATGCCAATGGTGGCCAAGGAAGATTCAGTTTTGGTATATCTTGGACCTTTTGGCAAAGAATCAATGCAGCATTGTATAGAATTTGTAACTCATTGACTTTAGAATTTCCCTCAGTTTCTGTGTTGGAATTCAGATCATCATCATCAATGGTACCGGTATAGCTCTCTTCATCAAAGTCTTCATCGTTGTTTTCTGACTTGTTTGACATATGTTCCTCAACCAATTCGGAAGAATCCAAATTTTCCACATATACAATCTCACTAACATTTCTCATTTTCGGTACATAGAACACAAGTTGGGGATAACTTTTCATCAGTCGTTGCTTGAGTTTAAAAGCTCTATATTTAGATGCATCCACATTCTCGGTGTCCTTAGCAATGATAACAAATTTCTCCAGCAATCTTTCATGTACCTTATTTGCTTATTTGCGATGACCTCAGTCTCGATTACTTTCTTACAGAAGACATCATAAGACTTCTCGTACACTGTAGATCTTTCAGTCTCCAATTGCTTCTTTGTCTCTCTGGTGAGAAAATTTGTATGATTGCAGTAGCAAACTTTGTGATAGCGGACTTCCAGTGCTACACAGTCTTTCCCCCGGATTTACACGAGTATCCGTTCATCATTCTTTCTCTCGGCAGCTGTACGTAGAAGACCAGCATCAATTGTTTCTGCCAACATGAGTGGGGTTCTTCTTCTCTTCTTAGTCACCTGGTGTGAACAAAACTATTAAACTTAATATCTGCTAATAACACAGTTGGATGTTTGTAGCATTAGAAACTACTTTACCCTAAGACTAAATAAACTTAATTGACCACAATTCAAGATATTTTAAAACCAAACTCGAGAATGCTGTGCTACTAGTGCACATTGCACCAGCTACTAGTGCACATTGCACTAGTATAATTATATCTATCAAAATGACCATACCTTGTCTAGTGAGAACTAAGAGGAATCTCTTCCACAAACAATACATATCTCTGGAAGTACATGCTCGTTTCTTTTAGGCAGGGTCTTATTAACGTCTGCGACTTGATTGTCGTGTAATTTTTCGCCTTGGTTCCATTGGTTCCACTTTCACATGTAGTCCTTCGGTAGGAGTTACAGTTTCAGAGCTAGTGCCTTCTCCTTTTTCTTCCTTTCGCTGTTGTCTACGGATCTTCTCTTCATCACAAAATCTCTTCCAGCATTTTATGATTGTACCATTCTCAGTTAATGCTGTCAGGGTTCTTCTCCATGTATGAATTGACAGATCCGTCATCGATGTTTTCGTAAGATTTCTTAGCTATTTCAGCTTGTTGACATTTAAGTTTGGCCCATTTTGGACCTACACTCAAGAAATTTCTTAAGCCTTTGGCGTGTAACTTTGCAAAGTTGCTCCGTAACGCCATCAAAATGAATAAAACATGAGGATATTCGAGTGTTATAAATATCTTCAGCCATGATTATTTTGCATAACTCGAAGCATGTGCGTGCTTATGCGCGTGCGCAGTGCGAGTTTGGCTGACAAGCGCATGCGCATTTGCTACTAAAACAATGGCGATTTGAATATTTCGAAGCGCGAATATAGCAAACTTTGGAGGGATTGTTTTCCCAATTGTGCACCTGTTTCGCTTGGGGAGCGACGGATTCTGATAAAGTAAGTTTTTATCTATTGATTCATGTGAAAATTATGTAGTTTCACGAGGGGTGCAACGGAATCCGTTTTCTAAGCATCTTTTGGATGCTCATCCTACGGCCTAAAAGCGACAGACTCGAATGAAATCGCTTTCCCGAAGGAACATGATTATTATGATGACTTTGTGCCAAGTCAAAAAGGACCGGGATTTAAAATGATTTATTTCGTGCCCACCCGCACCGTGCAAGATCGAAATAATTAAATCTGTAAGAATGGATTGATAATAATATAAGTTAGTACGACAGATAATTTCAAGTACGCTTCATAAAAATGTCTTTAAAATAGCTGATTCAGTTACTCAATTAGTTTAATAAAGGTAAAGAGTTGACAGTTTCTTGTCAAAACATGCCTCTTGTGCGAAATATCTGTAAAATAACAGTTAAATTTCGATTGTTTGATGATAAAATAATTTACCCGCATTTTCTACCATTATCCGCAAGAATTTACCCGCATTTTCTACCATTATCCGCACGAATTTACCCGCATTTTCTACCATTATCCGCAAGAATCTATCCGCATCCGCCTATCCACACCCGCATTTTCTACCATACCCTACAAAACAGGACAATATACACACATGCAGACAGTTTCACACATAGATAAATTATATGAATAAGTAGGATGCGTTTCAGTGTCAAACAACAATTGATTTGAACAGCTGATTCCAAAGCATAACGCCGCTATATTTGAAACTTTTTTTAAGGTACTCTCGATTTGGCCTAGGGAAACTTAGGTCTGTTGCAGAGTTTCGGAAGTGATAATTAGATCAATTTCTCTTCTCACGAAAGACTCCCGAAGAGCAGTGTTTCATTAAGTATCTTGTACATCAATACTGACTTGGCACCAGACCGTCTATAGTTTCAAGTGTGTCCCAATTAAGAAAGATTGTTAAGAAGATCGATTGATGATGTATCATAATTTGCATCCGTTAAGACCCTCGCTGCGCGAAACTGAAATTTTTGCAACTTGTCTCTGAGCAGATTACCAAAAGTATTCCATTATTGCAACATTATCAACAGATATTGGGGAAAATTTGAAAGATGTATCTGAGGCCTGATTTCTATTATAGTTTATGGGCTGATTATCTTCATTGCCACAGGACTCATCAATACATTTTGCCAGCTTTGACCCGATACTATAGTAAAATAGTTATTAAGTGCATCCGCAATACATTTGGGATCGGAAACTGGTGTATCATCAACCAACAGCTCACTCACGTTGTTGGATTTATTATTCTTACCCAGTAAATAATTAATTAGTTTCCAGGTCTTTTTAGGATCATTCGTATTAGTACATTCAGTGATTCTATCATGAAAATATTTTAATTTTGATTTTCGCATTTCAACATTCACTTTATTTCTCAAAAAATGATAGTTTTCCCAGTGTGACTGTTAAGCATGTTTTATTGCATGTTTTTTGCAATAATCTCTTTTTCTTATCATGTGTTTTATTTCCGGATCGAGTGATCCATGGGACAGAATTTCCTTTTACCCGCTTACGTCGGATCGGCGCATGCATATTTAATATCTCATTAAATATGAAGCGTTTGTGGATGAGAAGAGAAGACTTGTGCAAAAAACTTTTTAAATTAATAGTTAACGATGAAAATCATAAACTCCATCATCTTTTACCTATGAAAGTTCCGGATATGTACAATCTTAGAGGTTCGAAACAATTTTACATTCCTAACTATCGTACAAACAGATATAGGGACACGTTTATAATATCCAGTCTCTTAAATGAATAGTAAATTATATAGATTTTTTTACTAGTAGTGTACAGTATAATTTTTATAATGTTTTTAAATTGTTGTATAGCCTCATGCAATTCAGACGATTGACTACCATATGAGTATTATTAAACGGTTTATCTATCTATGTATCTCTAGGTGAAAAATAGGGTGCTTTTGTAACCTTTTCTCCCTAACGATATTATTAGCCGATAATTTTGCAGAAAAGTTTCGTGTTTTTTTTACAAAATTGAAATTTCATGTCATTTTGTGCTTCATAGAAAAAATTGGGCAGTTTCAATAAATGGAAAAGTTTCTGTGCCCTTAAGAACACAATAGAGGTTACAAAAGATCCTTGTGCAGTGCTTACGTCTTAAATGAATAAAATATCGATTTGTTTGCATGGAATTGTAATAAATACACTAAATAAGACATTTTAGTTGATTATCTTCATAAGCACTACCCTTTATTATCGTTTTTCTGTTTTATTCAAATTTTCAAGTGGGAATATTATGAACCTTTCCCAGGCTGACATCCCATTTTCATGAAATTGAAAATTGATATACGAAATGGGGTTCTACTACTAAATTTCATCAAAATTCGACAAAATTTGGACTGAATGTCAGAGTTGGTTATTTATAAAAGGCATTAAAATTTGGGACTGATCGGATATTTCCTTCCTATGATTTTTTAATTGTTTTTGGCCAAGTGCAAGGTTAAAAAAGATCCCTATTGCAAGAAATTCAAAGTTTTTCAGAATTAAGCGCACGAATGAGGTGAGGTCCTTTTAATAATTTTTGACGAAAGTACATATTATAAGCAACTCGTATAGAAGTTTTGGTGGAAATTTACTTCACTTTAAGGTTCTGAAATAAGGGTTTTAAAAGCCTCTGATCTCATTTATGAAACTGGATTGTTAAGAACTGTTCGAACATTAACCCCTAAAAAATGATTATTTTCGCTCTGAAATGCAATTATTTTTGATAAATCTGCATTTAACAAAGGACTAAAAATTGCTTTAAGCCTACCTGAGTGATTCATCAATTTCTTTCTTAAATCAATTTTTTTCGACAGAATTTCTGAAATTTTGGCAATCCTTTATAAACCTTGCATATCAGAACAAAGCTCTTGGGCGAAACAATGAATGCAAGTTCATTTATTTTATTTTTTAATATCTTAAAAACTTGGAAAACCGATTGGAACTGGTTTTTAACTAGAAATCCCCCTTTCATTGAAAACTAGAAGTCCGTCTTTTCGTCTACTTAATGACAGCTTGTGGGATATGCCTTGTTTTGTTTTCAAAATTTGGATAGTCATGTAACCCCAATACTTTTCTAAAAAAATTAAAAATTAAAATTACAAAGACACAGAAAGGCAGAAATGGTTTTTTCGTTCCTATTTCCAGACCCCCTTTACTCGCGGTTTGCTCGCGATATTTGCAAATTAGTATCACACAACAGCTGGGCATTTTGTTGTCGCTGTCCAACAATTGCGGGCGCATTTCTTTAAGAAGAATTTTAATTCTTCGAACGCCAAAAACATGTATTTTGAGGAGCTTTTTCTCCTTTTTTACTGGTTTGTTCATGGAAATAAAAGGTTGTATTCAAAGATTACGTTCCCGTGCTTGCATACAAGGGTATAACGACATTCTTGGGTAAATATTTGCGAAGGATTTTTATTTGCAAATGGGCGACAAGTTGAAGTATTTCACTCATTGTCAAAGTTTCAGGACCAGGTTACAGCAGTATGCAAACAACGAATTAACCCTATTTTACTCTTGACAGAAGCTGACATATTGTTGTTTCCGCAGGTGTGTTCATTAATCTATTTGTCCCTTCTCACGCGAAATAATAAGTACCTTAACATGCATTTTTCTATAGAAATAACACCTTTTCCTCTAGGTTTAAAGGTACTGAAGATCATGTCATAAAAGGTTCTAAAAATTCGCCATTATTGTATTTTGATGCAAGCAATGTTATACTAAATTTTTGCTCAAATAATTTTATTATACTCCAGTTAAATGATCAGAAATACGAAGTAATATATCCCGCAGGTTAATTTATATGTTTGTTTACAGACAAAAATAAGTATTGTGCGCATTTTTCTCCGCATGCCCACTAACTTTTTTATGAAGTTTGAACAATATGGATAGTTTTTAGCCATGTTTCGGAGAGAGGCACTGGTAAAAATTTTAAAATATTTTTAAATATGTGCCACAGCATCACATAATTTCACAAAGCAAGTATGCCCATATTAAAGTTTGCGGTTAGATTCTTAAAACTTACCAAATCAATAGGACTTTTCATAATTCATAACAACCAATACTTGGACATAATAAAATCACTTTTGCAGCAATTTTTACATCATAACAAACTCATATAGAAGGAAGTTCGTAAGTATGTTACAACATGGCATTTTCAGAGCATGAGTGGTTTGTGAAATTACAACATCTAGAGCATTTTTCCCATGAGTGGCTAATGTTTCAATAAAACAAAACATGATTTAACTTTCATAAAATATACTTTATAACTGAAGGCAAAGGTCAGTTTTCACGAAATCGAAAGAGGAAAAGGTGTTATTTCTATAGAAAAATGCATGTTAAGGTACTTATTATTT